GGGCCTCCTTCTCAAGGGGTCGCTGCAGCCGAGACTCAGGGGAAGCAGTAAGAGGACAAAGCTACCAGCGAGGCTGGAAGAGCAGAAAGCTGGAAGCAGCCTGGGCCCTCGCTGTCACTGAGCGGCTGGATTTTTCAAGCCTGCAGCTACACACACTTGGAACTTCTGCGAGAGAATACATCCCCATAATGTTTCAGCCGGGGGCCTCCAGAGCGAACAAGGTCCATAGAAGGGCAGGGAGGAAACGAGTTATGTGTTAAGAATGAAGATGGTTGACCAACACGCAGACACTGCAGGGTTAGTGGGTAAGTGGTCGGGGGCAGGTGGAAGCCCTGGGGTGTCCTCAGAGGACGGGGAGAGCTCCGCAACGCGGACGGTGGACGCGGGGCCGCTCTTGCAGGACACTGCAGTTTCTGTGGCCCTCACAAGGCGACCGGACTTACCCATTTTATCATCTAACATAAGGGCCTCTTTACAAGATTTTATGAGATGGGAAAAACTAAACTCCAAAAGCAGTTTCCTGGTTTCCTCATAGCAACATTCTTAGAAGTACTGTCAAATTAAACGATACATTTTTATCGATAAAAAGGCAAATGTTTGCTGTCTGCCAGGCTTTCCTGTGATGGTGACAAGTGCTTATCAGTAACATGTCATCTAGAAGGTATAAAAAAACTCAACAGACTTTATCTGACTCTTCAAGGTAAAGATGATAGACTACCAATGAGTAAGTAGCTATTTTTCCAAGAGAAATTCATGTTACGTACGTTTTGAACATGGTGAGCCGTGCTTCAAGCTTTGTGAAAACATGTTGCCCAAAACTGCTGCCTACACAAATTCTCGTTCAGCGCACACTTAAATTTGAGAAACGAAATCCCAAAATCAGTTTTGGTAGGTTCTGAACCCATTTGTTACCAACAGTAAAATGCCACACTCCCAATGATTGAGCAAGAACAAGTTACTGACAGTGAGGAAGACGGAGATTTATTATAGATTTCAACAAAATGCTTTTAAGGAACTGAAAAAATGAGTTGTTTTCAGTAAAGAACAGTCATTTGGATCCACAGGTATTGATGAAGGAGCTTTTTCAGCTACAATACCCATTAAAATAAACCTACCTTGGAACTAGATATTAAATGGTTTATCATATAGTGCTAAAACTAAGAGTTGCAAAAATAATGTCATTTTTTAATCATATGGCTCTCACCAAAAAATTTTTTAAAAGAGCAAGGTATTTTTTTAACCACAAGTACACAGAAAAATATTTTAAAACATTTTTACCTCTTTTTTCTATTTTTTGTCTTATGTGTATTAGGATAGTACAGAAACATTAACTGAAAAAGATGCACGCACACAGCTGGAAGGACGCCCCGGGCATGAAGTCAGGTGACTGGTACACGCGGGGCTCTGCTTCATGCCACTGTGTGTGCTCTCAGACCGAGCTTTTCCTGTCCCAAGAAAATATTAACTCTATTGTCTTCTAGTGCTTATAACTTAATTGACTTTGGTGAATGGTGTAACAGGAATCAATTTAATTTTCTTCAGCTGTACAAACACCTTTTATTGAAGAATCCATCGTGGCCAGAATTATTCAAAAGGCCACCTTTAATGTACTCGAAACTCTTAAAAGTACTCAGGTCTATTTTTCAAACAACTTTCCATTAACTTGTCTATTTTTATAACAGCGTAAAAATTGCACTTTTAAAAATGTTATTCATTTTTTGGTGAAATTCCTTTTATCTCCTTTCAGTGAACATCTATTTTCACATTTTGACTTCCACAGGATTTTTTTTTTTTTTTTTTTTTTTTTACTTAATTTTTAGAGAGAAGGGAGGAAAAGAAACATCAATGTGTGGTTGCATCTCACGCGTCCCCTACTGGAGACCTGGCCCACAACCCAGGAATGTGCCCTACACTGGGAATTGAACCCGAGACCCTTTGGTTTGCAGGCCGGCACTCAATCTACTGAGCCACACCAGATAAGGCTTCCACAGGATTCTAAAGTCATTTGTCTTTAAAATGAACACAAAGAAAGGAACAATTATCTATTTTTAAAAGCCATTCTTGTGCATTCTTTTCGTAACACATTTATCCAATGGGTTCATATTTATTTTTGCTTTTCACTTACTGCATTTTCCCATTATGCAATCTTCTATAAAACCATTTTTAATGCCCTTGGTATATAGGCATACTACAATTCAATTAATCCGATATTATTGGACATACATTTTCTCATTGAGGTATAACTGGCATATAACATTAGTTTTAAAGGTGCATCGTGGATTTTTAATTTATATTAAAATAAACTTTGGTATTTGAATCAGCTTTGCACTCAATTCACAACATTAACTCAGAACTGCCATGTTTACCAAGGTCATAATGTTCCAGTCACCAAGGTCTTACGAGGTCCCCTCTCCTAATTCTCCTCCACCTCATACCCAAAGAAACCATGATTTTGAATGTTGTTCGTTCTTTTCTTTAGTTTTACTGTTTATGAAGCCTGAAACGATAGTTTTTCCTGGTCTTGAACTTTCAGGCTCCAACACCGACTGTGTTTTTCTGACACACGTCTTTCATGCAACGTGACTTGAGGTTCCCCTGCGCCAGTAGCCAACTCTCCACCACACACATGCCCCATTCATTCGTTGCCTCACAGATGGGCACTGGGCTCTCTCCTTCCCTCCTTTTTGGTAATTTACAAATAACGGTGGTGTGACCATTTCTGGGACATGTGTCCTGGGGGTACACACCCACATGCAAGTTTCTCTAACAGCCTGAATCCTGGGCTGTAAGACACACCTGTGTCCAACCTCACTAGGTAGTTGTCCATGTGGAAGTGCCGATTCACATGCCAATAGGAACAGATGCAAGGTCCTGTTGTAATAATCACTCCAATTGTTGCTATTTCCTGACACTTTAGTTGCCTCCAATTTGGTGGCTAGGAAATGGTATTTATGGTTTCAAAATACATTTCAATGTGCAACTAATAAAGTTGAACTTTTCATGGTTACAAGCCATTTCTGTTTCTTCTATGGAATATTTGCTTGTGTTTTTGCCCATCTCTCCCCCACAGTGCTTTTGTTAAAGATTTGCCTTCAGATGCTCTTTAACAGTTACGTACGTACTGTGGCTATCTGTGTCCTATTCCAGCTTGGGCTTTTTTCATCCTACGACATGTTCAGTAAAAACGTACTTACTATCAACGTAGCCAAACTATCTTTTAGTTAACAATTTGCACTATCCTATTTACAAAATCCTTACCTTCCCCCAAGTCCTCAAAAAATGCTTCTATATTGTTTTGTAAGTTAAGTGCCCTGTGTAAATCTCTGATCCACCTGGGACTGACCTCTGTGCCTGGTGGAAGGTAGAGACCAATTCATTTCTTTCCTTCGTGAGAATTACTGAGGCCCCGCTTATAAACCACCCTCCTCCTCCGTACTCATCGGTCATGCTGGCTGCCCTTTCAAAAATCAAGTTCCCATGCACGAGTGGATCATTTCCCAAGCCCTTCTTGTTCATGCATCTACTTGTACTCTGTGCCATTTCCACATTGTTTTAATCACTGTATTCAGTGTTGTTTTACAGTTTGGTAGTGCCAGTTCCCCTTCATTCTTTTTGAGGAATGCCTCGGCTACCCTTGTCCTTTTTCCTTCCATTTCTATTTTAGGATCAGCTTGTCAAGTAACACAATGAAAACCATTGGGATTATTTATTGGAGTTGCATTAATTTATTAACCAATTTGTATACAGAGTCGAGACCTACATGATCTTATCCATCACAGTCTCTCCATACATTTAGGTAAGTAAAGGTGTTTTTTTTAAATAATCACTTTCTCATTAAAAGGCTTATACCATTTATTAAAATGTATTCTTAGGTACTTTATTTTTTGTTCCTACTATAAATTTTATTTAATTATGTTAAAAAATTTAAGAGCCATTATTGCTTGTAGCTGGTGCATGAGAATGTAATTGCCATTTGTGTAGATTTTGTTCTAGCAACTTTGATAAACTCTAAGTCTTCTAATTTGCTTTGCAGGTTCTTTGTATTTTCATAGACAATCTAGTCATGCAGAGTTAATCCATGAATAGATGAGTTACATTGATTTCCTAATATTAACCAATTTGCATTCCTGAGATAAATCTAATTTGGTAATTTGTTATACTTTAACTATGATGTTAGATTTGGTTAGTAAAAATGCTTACTTTCTTATTGGAGGGTGCAGATGGATATAGATAGATATATCCATCTGATCCAATTTATTAGCTGAGCTATTTAAACCTCCTATACTCTTATTGATCAATTTGGTCTTCTGCATCATCTACTGATTAATAAGGAAGGTGTGTTATGTTGGTAGGTTATTTGTCCTTGTAGTAGTGGCCACTTTTTTTTCTTTATACATATTTTGAGGTATGTCATTAGTAACTTAGGTGCATAATTAGTAAGTTTAGAATTGTTATATCCTTCTGGAAAATTAAGCCCTTTGCCAAATGTAGAGGCTCAATCACTAGCATTAAGGGGGGGAGTGGGTTTAATATTAATATGAAGAAACTTAGCTTCAGAAAAATAACCTACTCAAGAATATACACAAGTAGTTGCAACAAACTTTTGCTCTTAGATTTGGTGTGTGGTATTCTTTCTATTGTATCATGTTTTCTGAAATTCAAATATTTTACAATTGTGGATTATTGAGAAACAAGCCAATAGACAAAATAAACATACATAAACATATACTAAGAACTGGCTCTAGTAGAAAAGTTTTATATTCAGTTAAATAAAAATAAATTTTGCTAATAGAAGAGAGAGAACTTAAACAGCTCCTTATTTGGGAGGTAAAAAAACCTGAAGGAAATTTTCAGGTGATTTAAATACAGAGAAAAAGAAAATATAAAGTCACTGAATCTGGCTTCTGTGTTGTAATAATAGGGTAGGTCCATTACAACGCAGCTTAGGTTATTAAAAAAAAAAAAAAAAAGAGGATGAGAATTGGCATTCTGAGATCACTGTAGGAAAGGACACTTGTGCAGAGAGACAGTGAGAGAAACTAAAATCGTAAGATTTCACAACACATTAGGGGATATAACTAATTTCATAGCAAGAAAACACAAAGGCCTTTTTTTTTTTTAAAGCTCAGTATAATCAATGCAAAAACCCCCCAAAAAACAGAAAACCAAAAAAAACCCAAGTCAGAAGTTTTGATTCAAAGTCACAATGAATCCAGTGTTTAAAAAAGAAAAACTCCATCTATATGTACATATGTATACATACTGTATATGTCTGTAGTTAAACGCACACACACATTGTTTTTCACCACTGTACAGAGGTCGCGATGGGCTCCCACTCGGCAGGCTGAAGAGCCCTGGTGGAACAGACAAGGGCCACCGGTGGCCCTCCCCTAGGGCTCATTATGAGTGTACTGTATGCAAATCATTATGTTCCATAGTATAACAAAGTTCCAGGGAACCAGGTATCAACATAGCAAAGCCAAGGACATCTGTACAAGATTTATTAACCACAATGTTTTGGAGTGACAGTTTACACCCTATTACAGAAGGACTGATTCAAAACCACCAAAGTGAAAGGTCAGAACCGAAGTCAGTAGCTTTGAATCCCCGGTCAGTAAGGGTTTCATCCACCATTTTGTTTTTCTTACATTTATAAAAGAGCTGATGCCCAGAACACTTTGCCGTAAGCTCTCCTGTGCTTTCCAACGACAAGCACCACCAGAGACTAGGTTTCATTGTCTCACCCTCGCTCTGGCCGTGCGGGTGGGTGGCCAAGCCTCTCGTCTGCCTCGACCTTCCATTTATTCATGGGCACTCCATTTCCAGCCACAGCTGCACGTGCGAACGACTTCCCCTGAATTGCATGGCTGTAGTACTGACAAACAGGCCTAATGAGAGCAATTAAATTGCCATCTGTTTAACAAATCACACCCTTCTAAGAGAATATCCATAGTCTTACTGAATTTAGTACATAGTCACAACATTAAAATGACATGTGGGAATCAATACAAAATTTTTTTTTTTTTTTCAAACCACAGAATTCACCCAGAATTGTAAGCCACTAACATTTTTCTCAACCATCCAGTCCAACCAGAAATGGTCATTTCCACCCAGTAGGGGCACAATACATACCCGATCTCCTGAGAACGTACCTCTGAGTAGCGCTCTCTTAGTTCTCCCACAGCCACTCCATCAACACAAGCAGAAACAGGGTATGTACTTGCGCCACTCGGCTGTGGAAAGAGGTTCAAAAGAGGGTCTTGGCCAGCGGAGGGGGGGAGTGTCAATGACTTAGTTAAATAAACAGTAGGGACAGAAAAGTATTCTTTCCCAGGAACAGGGGTACTTTCACATACAGGGTGGGGCAAAGTAGTAGGTTTAGATTTGTGAGTATGCAAAACACAAGAGTTTATTCTTGCAGTATTATTTATTATTTTATTATTTTCCATACAAACTATAAACCTATTTTTGCCCCACCCTGTATTCTAGTGGCCAGAAACTGGGGCAAATTTCAACAAGGTAATGAAAGTCATCAGAAAGCGATCTATTATGACCTCTATTTTAACTTCTGATAAACATGAACTTCATCTGACGCAATCATATTGAAAACAGTAATCACAAACAGAAAGGCCCTATAAAACTTTTATAGGCATCAGTCGAGGAATTCACATTCTGATCTTAAATTTCAAAGTCCCCTTAAGGGGCCTAGACATGGGAGTCAAGTAAACATAATACTCTGAAGCTCAATGAGACACCACTTAAAAAAAAAAAAAAATCAACTGAAAACATCTGAACAATGGCTAGCAAAAATAGGTGATTTCGTGTTGGTTTTTAGTTGCAAAGTTTTTTATTATCTCAGATTAGTGTATATTCCTCAACAATGTTCATTTATTTTAATAATAGCTGCTTATTAAACAATTGACTTTGGGCTTAAGAGCAATACTTCTTGCATGATAATCATGGAAATAACTGAGACAAAACAGGAAAAAACAGAGGGAAACACAGCCAACCTCACTAAGACGACGACAAACCTGGAAGGTCCCCTCTCGGGGAGGAAACGGGCTGATCGAAGGCGACGATGCCAGTGCTCCCGCTCACGTCACGCCTGCAGAAAGCAGGCACGTCTGCCAGGTCGCCGTGCCCTCCGCTAGCCCGTGGGCACAGAGGGCCGCTCCGAAGTTCTCTGTGCGCTGAAGGACGTTCACATCCCTGTTCAGTCAGTACAGAATATCGCGAGGTGACGCATGTGCAAACTTTTCCTGAGGAATTCTTTGTGTGCAAATCTGCAACCCAACAGAAAGCGCGTAGCAAGGGGACTGGTGGCTCTGCGGGGCTGCAGCGCCAGGATGCACGTGCGGTGTGGGCGGCCTGGGGCATCCGTTCTTCTGCGATCTTACTCACAAATCGGTTTTCATCCTATACCCCAAAGAAATGGAGGGTAGCTGCCTCAAACTTGTATGAGGGACAGAAAAAATGTAACTTTCCCACAAAATGTACTCATGCACAACTCCTGCATCCAGGTTTGTCTTTCTTCTTTCCAACTCCACCTAAGAACTTTGTCAGGGTTTGCTGTCTATCCCAAAGAACACAAAGCATTTGTTGGGCTGGGGTGCAGCTGTGACAACAGAGGGCTCCAACACTGAAGATTTGGGCCAAAATTTAAAATATGTACCGTCTCTCAAACCAACCATCATCTATTTATACTTTCACATGCCATTATTTATTTCAATGTGACCAAACTGGCTCTTTGTGGAGGGTTGGATTCAGGCTGCCCGCACACGCCGGTCAGTCTGGCCCAGTCGGCCGCGTGGCTAAGGAGGCCATCAGCCCGCGCGTACAATGAATGCTCTGACTCAGGCCCCACAAAAGCTGGTACTTAACTGGGCGGGAGAAACTATACACTGTAACTGGCGAGAATACAAGTAAACGTGAGAAAATACTTTCTGGCAAACAGTGCTTCACCAAAACAAAATGGAGGACAAATCTTATTTCTTCTCATGTTGAAAAGTAAGAATTTTGTTAAGAATCCCAACTAAATAAGCAAGGTCAACTCTGGATTGAAACAAAGAAACAGGTTCCTCATACTGCCATGCACCCCGGGGGGGTGAAAATGAGCAACAACAGGTCACGTGCCCCAGGAGGAGGTGCAAGCTCCCCCTCTGGTGCCGTCCCGCCAGGCTTCGCAGCGCAGGCCGGGTCCGGGCTGGCTGCAGTCACGCACAGAAACTCAGAGAAACTAAACCCTACAGACTCTGCCCACATTTTGTGTACACATATATTATAATAATAAAAAGACAATATAAAATATTTCTCCATTAACTTTATAATGCAAACACGGCCAAAGATTTTAATGCCAATTCATGTCGTAACACAATGCTTTTACAGAGAAAGTTCTGTTGTTGGCCAAAGAACAGTCTCTCCCAGAAAAAGCATTTGGGTATATTATTAAAATACTGAAGAATTTATTTTTAAAAAATTCCAATTTTATTCCTTGCAGAAATAGTAAAACCACTCAGGAGAGACTTTAGCTGCAGGTGTTATTTATAAGCCTGCAGCAACATTCCATTGAGAAAAATAAAATTTGCCTTCATGGTACAATGGAATTTTTCCTTGATACTAGAATGTGACTGGTGCAGCAAATCAAACTATACAGGGCACAGCGAGAGCCCACATATATTCTTACAGTAATTCAGTGTTTATCAGTACAATCCAGGACACAAGAGTTAATGAGTCCAACACCAAGTCCTCCACAACCCCCACCAACTCTGGCTGGTTAAGTACTTTAAAAAATAAATCCTACAGCCTTTACTTTTACGTCTCTGAATAGTAATTTTACAAACACAGGATTTCTGACAGATAACTTACTTGCTCCTAAGACCACACTTCTTCTAACTCTCCCACGCACCCATTCCCCAGAGGAGGACTGGATGGGCAGAGGCAACTCCTATGGAAAACCTGCACAGCGCAAGTGTGGCAGCATTTCTCACGTCGTCTTTTTCTGCCCCAAGCTCTCTGAGGGTGAGCGTTAGTCTGACGTGGCCTAACAGATTCAAACATAATGCTCACTTTAGAGTCACACAGAACCGAGAAAAGCACTTTTGTTTGTTTATCACATCTATTTTTCTTTGCCGTTCAAGAACTAGAATAAGCTTCAGAGTCTAAACAGGAACTAAATAGCAGTGTGGGCGCAGAAAAACACAAAACACGGCTTTGCCACAGCGGGAAGGGGGCCTTAAAATGGCAGTGCTACTTCTTCTCTATTGGACTCAAAAAATAAATAAATAAAAAACTTTAAAAATAAAAAAATAAAAGATGCAGACCGCAGACTTATTTAAAGTACTTGTCTTACCCATTTAAAATGAAACGGATCAAGAATCCCACACCACTGATTGTATTTGGGTGCAATAGCCCATCTGCTTCCTAGAGCATCACAGGAGCCAGCTCTCACTGTTGGGTGATTCTCAACATCGGGGTGGGGGGGGGCTTAAGGGCTAGAGTACTGGCCACCCCTGAACTAGCGTGATGCCAATACTGTAGCAGCTGGTGAATCATGTGAAGTGACAGAGGGAATGGAAATGCTCTATGAGAGTTGGTCCCCAGCATTAACATGATATGCCACAGGAGACAGGGAAATCCGATCCATGTGCGACCAGTTTCTGCTTCCCCACTCACTCAGCATCCCGCTATGAAGTCACACCTGACGCCTCACGGTGGGTTAGTCCATGACACCATAAGCTTTTTCAGGAAGCGTGTGTGAGTTTGACAACATGGTCACAGAGTTGCAAAGTGCACGAAGCTCAAGGCACAGAGTAGAAAAAAGTTGTGAACTAGTGGGGGAAAAGGTATAGCAAAAGCAGAGTTAGCATTTTCCTTTCACAAGACTTTCTAATGCTAAACAAAGACCAACTCTTTTAAAGGGGTTTGTTTGTTTGTGGGTGAAAAATACTGTATAGTAATGATCTGCTTGATTTTAAAGCAAAAGGAATCTTGATGTGCGAAACCAGTACGCCGAGTGCCAAGTCCACAAGTGAATAAAACAGTGCTTAAAAACAATTCTTCTGCTCTTACATTTTTTGGAGAAAGCTGCTAATTTGGGCTGCTGGATTTCACTTAAAAACGATCACTGTTCAAGATGCCTGTTCCTCACAGAATCTACAGATAGATTGTCCCATTTCAAAATCATCCCCAAGTCTAGCAGCAATGGACAGTTTTGTGTGTTAGTTTTTGTTTTTTAAAATTACAAATCAAAGTAAGAAGTCCAACATCCTCTTCCAAGAACAGCTTTGTGACAGCTCCTGAGTGCAGGACCCCGCTGTGCTCCGAGTACAGTCTCTGCAGCTCCAGTGTGTCCTTTTTTTCAGGAAGGAAAGTACATTCAATACATTCACTATCTGTACCCTCTGGAACTCGCACATGCTGATGAGCTGTCTGAAAAAAAAAAAAAATCACCGGAACAGGAAAAAGTATGAATAGCAGACAGCATTTGATAATGGTAGGAATCTGCCTATTTAACACATACTCCTCACCCCACTCCCAATCCCACAGAAGGAAATTTTTTTAAAAGAGCGGTCCTGAGCGGAGCGAAAGGGGGCTAGATCACCAGGAGCTGAGGCTGGGCCATCGGCCCGTTCTAGCCAACTAGAGAATCCGGTAGCCTCTTGACAACTGAGAACCACCACTGCCGACTGGACTTGAGCGCGGTCACAGGACTTGAGCGCGGCCACAGCTCACAGACTAGCCTGGCCTTGAGCACACAGGGCGCCTAATGAGACCGCCATCAGGGACATTTTGGGCGTCGTCGTACTCACTGCACGGTCACTGCCAGTCGCTATCTTACATCACAAACCCTTCCCAGACGGTAAGGAACATCATTACTTACTATAAGCCAACTCATCCCCAGCTCTCTTCCGGGACTGGTCACCTCTGGGGATTAAAAAAAGAAGAGGGAGTCAACAGCACTGACCGGCTTCTTCACAAACCGAAACAGGAGAAGCAACTGACATAACTGATTGCAGAAATACAGCAGACATTTCAATTCTAACCCAACAACCTGTTTTAAAATAGACATTAAACTTAAACAGTAACTGAGTCATTTATAACCTGAATAGTCTTAGCTAAAGGGCGCTGTCTTATAAATATAGAGAGCCTTTCAGTGAGGAGGGATTATCTACAAAGATAGTTTATAATGGTTCTAGAAACAGGTTCAGATTGTCTTTGAAGACTAACCTAGGTTCTGCTATGAACACCCCTAGTGACCTTATACTAGGGCTTAAAGCTTTTGAAAAAAATCTCATAATCTCATTAAAGATGAATATGAATACCCTTCTTACAGGTAGAAGAACATGAACCTTTAAATACAATGACCAGTTCATCTGCAAACACCAAAAAGTTCTAGTTCCATTTAGAGATAAGAAAACAGAGGTCTCAGTAGGTCCTATACTACCCATAAATCCTATTTTTTGTCTTTTTAGTTTCTCAGACAAATGACTAAAATGCCACAGTAATGAGTAATAACGACCAATTCACTAGCTCTTACTCTGCCCAACACTCTATCCTCGGCCACTTCTCCTTGTACACTCTCCTTAGTCTAGATCAATGACAACACAAGTCCTGTGAGTTGAAATACTACCCACTAGCCAGTGGGTCCCGGATTTGCACCTCCAGCTCTGACATTTCCCCTGTGCTTCAGACTCGGACCCACGTGCCCACCACCATGGCCACCTGGAGACCTACACGCATCGCCCATTTCCTGGGGTCAGAAGGAGCGCTGACTCCTCACCATCCCCCTCCTTCCCCAGTCTTCCTCAATAAAGGGGACCACTGCCCACCAATTACTCAGCCAGAGTAGAGCCCTAGCTCATCCTCGACTCCTCTCTCCCCCTCACTGGGAGAATTTTATCCCCAAACGCAATCCAAAATAACCACCTCTCACCCACTCCACAGCGACACCCCAATCCGAGAAACTATCACCTCTTCCCCATGCAGCTGCAAGAATCTTATTATTGGTCCAGACAAGAGCCAGAGTGATCTTACGTAAAAGCATAAATAAGATTATTTCATGCCCCCCATATTAAGGCTCTTCAGTGGGTTTCCATTACAGATAAAAGGCAATTCAAATGCAGTTTCCCAGGCTGGTGAGATCCGGCTCCTGGCCACCTCTCCATACTCCTCACCTATCTCTGTTCACGGCACCTCAGCCCCTCTGGCCTTCTGTCCGTCCCTGGGACATGTTAGTGCCTCCATGCTGACAGTTTTCTCTGCCTGTAGTCCTCCTCCCGTTAGCCGACGGCCCTCTGCTCAGCTCTGTTCCCAGCGGGAATGCACCCTCCTCCGAAGGCGTGATGTTGCCAAGTTAGCTGAACAGCCCCTCATACACGCCCTGGTCATTCATTCTCTATCCCGTACTCCTGTTCAATTTTCCTCACAACACTTCATTTGGAAGAATGTTTACGTATTTATTATTTATCACCCTATGTTCAAGTACAAGCTCCAGAAGAACAGGGACTCTGCCTGCCTGTTCACCCAGGACCTAGAACACTGTCTAGCACACAGCAGAAAACAAGCATTTGCTGAATTAGCAAAATACTGAATAATTCCTAAATGGCCTCAACAGATTATTAAAATGCTAGCTCAAGTAATTATTTTCCGCTTTTAAATAATCTTTCAGATTACCAAAATTTCCCACTTTTGTTCTCTGGTTTTGTTCAAGACTAGGAGAGAAACCCCTTGCTGGGCTGGGTGAGGAGCCTTAATGAAGGGCAGAAAGAGAGGGCGCCAAGCGGCCCCTGGGGGCGGTCTCTCTGGGCTAAGCACTTAGAGAAGGCGGGCTCGCAGTCACCGGCCTCGAGCAGCCTAAAGCGCTCTCAACGGGCGTTCTGATGCCGCTTTTACACATCTCTACTGTGAACGCTATATCTAGGCAAGCCAGCTGAGTGTCTTACATCAGTACTATTTACACTAGTATCAGCACAGCAGCATTAACCAAATATTCTGAAACAAGCAAGTTAATGCTGATCAAAAAGAAAATGCAGGATTTTATATCTGGAATCTCAACTTCTATAGACAACCTTCATTCCCAACTCCCACAATGCTAAATAAAAACTGAACATGCAAAAAATGTTAACAGAGAAAAATACAGATGGGAGAATGACAGGAGAAAGGACGTAGAACAGGAACAGGATGTATGCGAGAGGCCACCAAAGATTCTACTAATATGGCAAGGAGGGAAAGGTACAAACTGCACTCCAAACCAGACCCCTGCTACTCCATGGAAAAGCCCGTCTAGAGTAACCCTCAGCTGAAAGACCAACAATACTTCCACCCTACAGAGTTCTATTTGGTTCCAGAAATCCAGGTACCAACTCCTCAGAAAGAACATTTTATTTGCCCTTAAAAGGAATTTGGTCCCCACTCTGAAGAGGACCACAGCCTGATTTGAATGAGACGCTCCATCTCAGGGCATGCACGTTTCAAGCTCCCAAATGAGCTTACCTTCCACAGTGCAATCTTTGACAACAGACACCAACCTGCCTTCCCTGATAATAATCAATTCAATTACACAGGTAACAGATAAAAAGAGTATGCTGATCTTAGCTTATATGTTAATTCTAACTTTAAACTAAGTCCACATTGAATTTTCAAACACCTAAAGATCTTCTGCATAAACTCCAGCTCAAATAAGAATCTGTCCATTAAAAACAAAAGAGGATATATTTGACACGATTCATGCATTATTTAAAAATATTTCAAAGACTTACTCTGTGCCATCCATATTCAAGGTGTACCCTGCCTATGCAGGACTCTGTACATCATCTAAGTGCAACATGATCTTAAATGAAAATACAGTTTGAAAAGCTGAACAGGAATCGTGTGGTTGATTAGGTATAAACATAAAATGACTGCTCCTATCAGAATAGCCAGTAGCAGGACTCGTTAGAGGGCCTGTACTACGTTTTCGCTTGTTTTTTTGGATTAGTGGACACCATTTCTTCTAAAACATTTTAGCCAAACAATATCAAGGAAAGCATCAAAGCTGGCAGGGCAGGACGTGAAACGAGCCGGAAGCGCAGGCAGACGGTCTGCCAGCGGCTGTGCGGTGCTGCACGTCCTCTCCACCCGGGCTGGGCCGGCCCCGCTGTGGGCGAGTGAGGCCAAGAACGCCGGCTCAGCCAGGCTCTGCTCTGCGCCAAGCGCCCATCGGAATGGCTTAGTAGGCCGACCTCAATCCTCTGAGCAAGCGTGTGAGAAACTGCTAACTGAATTCTAGAAATGGCCCAATTCAGTTAATAAAACATTTTAATCTTATCATCTCCTGGAATAGTAATGTTTAAATTTCAGACAGAAGGTATATGAAAGAATTCCATCAAGAGAAACAAAACATCCAACTTACACACAAGCTCCAAGGCACCTTCCAGAACACGGCCAGCTTGGCCTTGAGAGAACAGTGCCATGTTAGTCCTTCACGTACAAGGGCGATGCGACAAGGAGCTATTTCTGGAGTCGGTTGCTCATCCCAAGCAAATTTTACGTAAGAGCTACTATACACCAAGCAGTCCTGCACCCTGTTGTCTTATTCCAATTCCAAAATTAGGGTTAGGAAATGTCCCTGGATGTGTTTAAATAAGTTGCCCACACTGCTCTGGAAGGTGAATTCAAGGTGTTCAGAGACATCCACAAGAGCTAACTTCCCTAAACTGCTTCAGAAAAGTAAAACTTTTCAGAAGGCTGATTGTTTCTTAAAAGACACCAATTAAGTTCATCTCTAAAATTAAACACAAGCATTTAAATAAAACATGAATAATAGCATAAAACTCTTCAAAATGATGGTGATACCTCTTTCATGTTTATAGGAAAAAAACATAAAAGGTATACTCAATTATTCTGCATTTATTTTTAAAACATGTAAGAAAAAACTTTTAACTGTAATTCAAAACACGCAAGCCAGAAAAAGACAAAACCTGATAGTTACACAAAAATAAAAAAAAATTTCTACATGACTTAAAAAGAAAAACCAACACCACAAGCGAAGTCAAAAGACGAACTGAAAATAAATTACATGTCTTATCCCAGGCAAAGAATCAGTATCTTTACTACAGACAGGGCACACAGAAACTAAGAAAAAAAGCAAACTAACAACCACACAGAAAAATAAGTAAAGGACATGAACAGTTTATAGAATAAGAAATACAAACACGAAAATATGTTCAGCCTCACTCATAATGAGAAATGCAAATTAAACCAACTCTGAGTAATTATGTTTCACCTGCTAGACTGGCAAAAATCCAAAAGATTAACAACATATGCTGTATACAAGGCCATGAAGGACAAGCACTTCCAAACTCTGCTGGTGTATACGCAAAATGGCACAGTCCCCTATGGAGGGCGACTTGGCAATATTAATCAAAATTACAACTGCACTTACTCTTGACCCAGCAATCCTACTTATGGGAATTTACTCTCCAGATATACCTGCAACAGGTACAGGACTATGCAGGGACAAGACTATTGATTACGGCATTGTCTGTAAAAGCAAAAGACTGGAAATAATTCAAGTTGCCACCTACTGGGGACTGGTTAAGTAAGTCACAGTATATCTGCCCAACAGAACGTGTAAGAAATGAATAAAAATAAGAACATACACTGTACTTGCTTGTATCTGTATATTAAGAAAAACACTGGAAGGAATCGTAAATTTAAAAAATGATTACCAAATGAGCTGGGAGTAGATGGGGAAGACAGGTGAGAATAAAACTTCTCAGTGTATACTTTTGATTCTCAATGTGTATCATTTTGATTTTTGAATCACACAAATGTATTAGCTCTTCAAAAATGAGTAAGTAAAAACTACTATGGCATTAAATGGCCTCATTCTGTGTATGAAAACAATCCCGCTGTTAGAAATGACGGCTAATGCCAGGAAGCGTGTGACCACTGGGCAGCAGAGAGAACAGCTGGCTGTTAGCGCCCCCGTGTTCCCCGCTGGCCCCCCCTTTCCTAGTCTGTGACAAGAAAGCCAGACCTGGAGGCCAGTCTACCAACCCAGCTTCACCGAGCCTTTCCACTGGGTAGGGCGAGTGACCGACCAGTGGGCTACTCGGTGCCCCTACTACTCCGTGAACGTAGCTGCCACCAGGACAAGATGGGGAAAAGTGCCAACCGTGGGCTAATAATCATCTGCTTTCTTTCCTGACCTATGCTGAAAAAACTAGAGCCTCAGTAACAGTGATCTTGATCAGCACCAATATTCTGATATTTCATTTGGCCTCAGAACCTGTAAATGTCAACGTCTATCCACAGTCCTAGCGAGGTAAGTCAGACGGTGATCAAACGACTACTGGGGGTCACAATCATGCCAAAGCGAGGATCCCAGGCATCTTCCTGCCTTTAACTCTCTTCCTTGAATGCCCCTGATCCAAATAAGAGAAGATACGTAAAAATGTAAGTAAAGAGTAAGAATTATGAAAATATAAGGTACGATGTGACCTTCAACGATGTGGTGACATAACGGGGTGTTTTCCCATAAGGAATCACAAAGTTTTTATCCAATTTATTTCAATTGAAAAGATGTACTCTGCAAGATTTTCTGGGTCATAGCCATGATACTGAATTGTAAATTTTAGAGAAGTTAGCAAAGCATATATATCAAAACCAAGAGAGGCCAACTTTCTAGCCACATTAACAAGATACCCTAACTTTTTAAGAGGAAATGACTAGAATTTAGGGCAAAAGTGAAAATACAAAGAACAGAATCTAGCCCTGGCCAGATGGCTCAGTTGGCTGGAGCATCATCCCGCAACCGAAAAACTGTGGGTTTGATCCCCGGTCAAGGACACATGCCTGGGTTGCACGTTCAATCCTAGGTCAGGGCGCGAATGGAAGGCAACTGATTGATGTTTTTCACATCGATATTTCTCTCTCTCTCCCCCTTCCTCTCTCTCTAAAATCAATGAGCATATCTTTAGGTAAGGATTAAAATAACAATAATAACTAAAAAACAGACTCTAAAGCCTCTTTGTACTAGTTTAGTCATAAGAGTACCTTATAACTGATCATAATATTTCTACAATGCTTTTCCAAATGTTCGTAACTAATATGAGAGGATCAAAGTTGGAAGAGATCTCAGGGGCTGCCCAGCCTAACTGTATCCAATGAGAAATCCCTTCTTCAAAATCCACTTAGTGAAGGGCAGCTTCTATAAAATCAAAACGCAGCCCTGACTGGCATGGCTAAGTGGACGGAGAGCCGGCCTGAGAACCAAAGGGTCACCAGTTGGACACCCAGTCAGGGCACGTGCCTGGGTTGTGGGCCAGGTACCCAACTGGGGGTGCATGGAGGCAAACACACAGTGATGTTTCTCTCCCTCTTTCTCCTTCCCTTCCCCTCTCTCTAAAAATAAATAAAATCTTTAAAAACACACACACAAAAAACCCCAGCCCAAACATTCCCTAGACAGGGAGTTAGCGCCCTCTCCTGGGAACAGCACCTCGGCCCTGGTGCAGCTACGTCCTGTCTGGGCTCTGGCGCCCCTCCCCTGCCAGGCCGACAGTGCCTAAGGAAATGGGCATATTTTGTCACGAAAGGAAAAACTTGCCTCATGAAACCATTCTGTATAAGTTCTCTTTGAAGTTTCTGATCTTGAGCAGCATACTCAGAAAGTTCAGATTCCACCGCTGGAGGGAGTATGTTCGGAATAAATTTAGAAAATAGAGTTGGAGCCATCTGAACCCACTCTGTGAGGGAAGGAAAAGATTCGTTAAGAAAATCATACAGAGAAATTAAATTAAATGGAAAAAAGTTTTATTTTGTTTGTTCAATATATATTAAACCAAACTTAAGTACAATCCCATTCTGATAAAGAACATACAAGAGGTTCTATTTCCTTTCTAAAAAGAATTTACAGTGTAAAGAAAGCAGATGTTTTCACATTTTACTGATATAGCAAAATTTAATGAGAATTTTATTTATTTATTTTTTTTACCGAATTTACTGGGGTGACACTGGTTAATAAAATTATATAGGTTTCAGGTGTTCAACTCTCTAACGCATCATCTGTGCTGCGCTGGGTGTCGCCACCCCAAGTCACGTCTCTTGCCATCACCGTTTATCCCCCGTACCCTCTTCTTCCTCTCCTAAATGGGCCTGATCAAAAATTCTACATATTGGGGGAAACATGCAATGAAAGAAACTTTTACACTGAAAATTCAACTTTTGAAATAGTTAAACTTTAATCTGCCAGGTGAATAAAACAGGAACATAATGCGCAAGGCATGTAAAGTGAAGATGTGTTTCATAGTGTCCCAGCAAATGCCTAGGGTTACAGAAGATTAGTCTGTGAGAAAATTCACGTTTTCGAAAGGGCAAGTCTCAAATACAGTATTCTCCTCACAAGTAGTATGAATCCTATTATAAGGACTCAAACTTAGATAAAATAGCATTTAGATGAACAAGTGTTCTACGCATAGTGCCTGCTTTTATTCTGCAATTTATTACTTATGATAAAAGCCAGAGCTTTTATGATAAAGCTGCCTACTTGGGAGGCAGAATTTAGAAATCTGTCAAACTGCACTTGGATGTCTTCCAGAATAAAATAAAATAACCATTCATAAGCTAGCACTAAAAGAAAAATCCATGAACCGTTTCATCACATTTAGTAAAATGAAATTCAAAATTCTGAGAAACTAGACAAAGAAAAACATCAGCTTATTGGATGCATGTAATAAAATATTTTTGCTACCTTATGTAATTACTTTATATAGATAATTTGTTTAAAAATTATGAAGAACAAAGACCTGATTAAATTTAAGTAACAATAAATTTGAACACCGCGGAAGTCACTAATTGTGTCAAGTGGCCTGAGAAGGAAGTATCTGACATCACACTCTACCCCTAGTACCACCGTTTGGACTTGGTTTCCAATTTTAATGAGCTAAATTCTGGCATTTCTTTTAAATTAAGCAAACAAGCCACCAATTAAAATAACGACTGGACCGAACTGTACAGTTATCATAGTTAATGTCAGCATGCTTATTATATTATCAGACACTGTGTTAAGCAATTTAGATTAGGTTTTATTTCATTTAATCCTCAAATGACAAAAAGAGTTTCACAAAAAGGTAATTAAAAGTAACTCCTCCTATTACCAAGGAGGATACATTCCAAGGCCCCCAGCAGATTCCTGGCAAATTACATAACAAGCCTAAGACGACGGACTACTGAATGTGTACACCTGTGCACATGTGCAGTGTGGGACAGAAGGAGAAACTCCATAACAAGGATTAATGCCAGACACAAGAATCAACTTTACCAAGTGTCTCCTACGAATTATTCCTTGTATTTCCTAAATGAGTTGGTTTTCACTGGAATAGAAAGAATTCCAACTGAGACTTGAGTTTACATTTCACAATGGTAAGTATCTGCTCAATTTCTTTGCCAAAACAAATCCAAATACCATTAGGCCTCAGAAAACACGTAACGAAACACTGTCCTCTTGGCTAAGGCTGAACTACCATAAACAAACAAATCCAACTCCCCAAGAAACGATGGATCAGTTTACCTGGTCTGAGAGTATACAGTCCTTTCACAATATTTGCCATAGTTGAAGGTGTGACCTGAAATGGTGTTGACTGGGCTTCTAAAAGTAAAGCTGAAATAAGAAGAAAAAATGGAATATAAAAATGGTGTAACAATGTCAAGGTTTCTCTTTCTATTACTATTTCTCCCAAAGGCGGAAGGGTAAACAAGCGCAAGAAAAGAACAGCCCAAGAGGAAAAACTGAAGAGTTTTTTTTAATCCAATGCAACAGAGCTCAATCTACCAAGTAAATATGTACAGTTCTGCCAAAATACTAATGGAAATGACTCAATTTATCGAGGTTCTGAAAAGAAGTAAAGCTTTCTAAAAGCAATGGTATTCATGGTACTTAGTGAGCTCAAAGTGCTTCCCATTATGTTCATAATTCACAAGCTTTACATTTGGGGGATAAAATGTTCTCTAATTCTCTCCATCATTTCTCTTTCCTTCAAATCGCCATATTTGAGGCTCTTGAAATTTCCCTGCAAGACATGTTATTAGTCATTTCAGTAACTGCAGAAGAGTCAGGCTGACTTTCCTAGTCAATCTGACTTTCCCAAGCGCTACAACTATACGTCATTTTTTTCTTTCTAAAGGCAAGGGCGACAGAGATCGAGCCTGCTCATCCTCTCCCTTCATGACTCTGGTAACCACAGGACCCTGACTGAACGTGACAAGAGACTCAGTTTTCTTTTAGGTTATTTACTGCCAGGCAAAAATTTTATTAGAATATTCTTTAAAAAAGATTTTATGTATTTATTTTTAGAAAAAGGGGAAGGGAAGGAGAAAGAAAATAAAAACATCAATCAGTTGCCTCTTGCACGCCCGCAACCGGGGACCTGACCGCAACCCAGGCACGTGTCCTGACCGGGAGTCAAACTGGTGACCTTCCCCTTTGAGGGAGTCGAACCAGTGCCCTTTCCCTTTGAGGGACACCCAACCCGCTGAGTCACACCGTGGTCAGGGCTGATTAGAACATTTTTAAGTGGACAGAAATAATTTCTCTAGATATCATCATCAACAGATACAAATCAATTCCATTATTTAGGGAATACAACAAGTACCAGTGACTCCCGAGTTCATTTTTTAATTTATCCCTCAAAGACCTGCGATTTACTAGCCAAAATATTTTATAAAACTTGGCATAACTTTACTGTAGGCCAGGCTTGTAAAACTGGACAAGCTGTGTTCTTCTGTCTGTGCCTTTTTAAAAATGGAAACTTGGCCAACATCACTGGCCATCTCACTTGGCCAACAATGACTTTGCAGTTTCAAACATACAATGTGAGTTACACTTGAATTTATATGATGAAGGCCAAAGGTGCATTGTTCAAGTTTATCCTTCTGATTTTATCATCAATAGATAGGTATAATTTTGAATGGCATACTCTATCTGTTAATTTATCTTCCTACTTTTTGACCAATTGTTTTGACCTTCAGTGAAGTCTTACTCCAACTGATGGTTACCAGATAGGAGGGCAAGGGGAGACTGGATGGAAAAGGGGACGGGATTAAGTACAAACTGGTGAGTACAAAATAGTCACAAGGATGTAAAGTACAGCACAGGGAAGACAGTCAATAATATTAATAACTATGTATGGTATCAACTAAGTACTAGACTTATCAGGGGAAACACTTGGTAAGTTATGGTGATGTCTAACCACTATGCTATATACCTGAAGCTAACATACTGATTTGCCAAGTGTAATTAAAAATTTTTTTTTAATTTTTTGAAAAGTAAGTGTTATTCCCAATAACTCTTCATGTTCAGTCACACATTCACTATATGGTCAAATACTGGAATCAATAAGTTGGTATGGTTCCCATATAATAAAAGACACACTCTTCATTTTCACCAGTAACATTATTAATTTGGATATTTTGAGTACGTTGGCTATCTCCCGCATGGTAGAATGTTGATTGTTCTCAATGACTTGATTTGATCACTGTCTACTTCAACTGTTCTACCCAAGCATGGAGCATCGTCCAGTGAGAAATGTCCAGCATGAAACTTCACAAACCACTTTTGACACATTTGGTCAGTCACAGCCCCTTCTCCATACACTGCACAAATCTTTTTTTTTGCATTTCATTTGCAAAAAACCTTTCTTGAAATAATAAAGCATAAAATGCTGAAAATATTGCTTATTTTCTTCCATCTTCAATATTAAAATGGCTACACAAAAATTCACCAAGTTTGATGACTTTTTTTTAAATGCACACTGATATGACAGTTGTCACAATGCAATCTAACAAAACGGTTTCAAATGAAGTTAAAAACAACTAAGCGCTACTAGAAGTCCTCTTATGGAAAAAAACAAACTGAACTTTTTGGCCACCCCAATATGTACATTTGCAAACAACCCCTACATAACCATGGCAAAATATCTATATCAAATTTGATAGCTGGGAAGAAATAATGATTTCAGATTGAATTGTACATAAAATGTATATAAATTCATTTAGGATGAATTAATTGAAAATAATTACATTCAGTAACAAACAATTATTAGAGTTGAGAAGGTGAAACATTTCTCTAAAACCCTCTCCAGCTAAACTCTTTTTAGGAACACATTGTTTAAAAGACTTTCTAGTTGATCTCTCCCTTTTAAGGAAAAAGAAAGGGAAATTCAGAGAAGTGGTAGCTTGAGAAAGGAAAAAATATTTATGGAATATTTAACAGGTACTACTTACTCATATATGTTTAATTCTCATAATCTGGCATTCAAAATTTATTTTCTCACAGCTTAATTCTCATCTACCTTTTCTTTTTTTAACAGATAAGGAAACTGAGGCTAAAAACAAAATTAAAAGCACAGAATAATTCACTGAAAATCACAGAACTGCTCTAGCTGGTACAGCTCAGTGGATTGAACACCAGTTCGATTACCAGTGTAGGGCACATGCCTGGGTTGCAGGCCAGGTCCCCAGCAGGGCGCAGGAGAGATGCAACCACACACTGATGTTTCTCTCCTTCTCCCTTCCTCCCCCTTCCTTCCCTTCTCTAAAAATAAATAAATAAAATCTTAAAAAAGAAAAAGAAGAAAATCACAGAGACAGCAAGTTAAAGAGGTCTGAGAACTTGTTTCTCATTCTAAATCCTGTATAATTTCTAGTTACCATGCCACCACCAAAAAGCTGATCTTATATGCGAACTGGTACAAATATGGTACAAATATGGTACAAATAGAGTGTTACTAGCCTTAATTTAATTTTTTAAAAAGCAAGGATCCTCCAATAATCCCACTGTCAGTAAGTAAACAGGTTTGAGCTAGAGTCGGACCTTAGAAAACTTCTGGTGCCAACCTCTTTTTTTAAAGATTTCTGACACTAAAATCTAGAGAGGTTAAAATGCCTTCCTGAAAAGTCAGCTGGCTTTTTAATAACTGGACTGGGCCCACAACCAAGCCCCTCGGCTCTTTCAATTACTCCTCAGAGCTACAAACTTACCTAGGGACTTCTCGCCTTTATTTATTTGAGAAGTAATTCTTAAATCAAACTAAAAATACTCAGCTTACATTTTTTCAAACTATAAGGATCTAAACTAAAAGGCACAACCTCAGGATAATAACAGAAATGTAATTATTTAAAACCTTCTGTGCAAACTGATCTATAACCTTCTACTCAACATGTGTTTTCTCATTTTCTCAAGAAAGTTTTATCATTAACATTCATTTTGTTGCATTTGCTCAGAGATAATACAACACTAGAGATACAAGTGATTAGTGTATAGCCTAGTATGTCCACTGTTTTCAAAGCTTAACGCAAAGTAAAGATTATTTTCAAAGGAAATTTTACTACCAGCCAAAAGTGGAAGCCATTTTATTGTATAAGCATATATGTACGAAAATGATTACCAGGTAGAGATAATAGAAACTAGCTTTATATGCAGTGGGAAGTCACTGTCTTCTTCACAAAAGAATGGCTAATATGGGGCATTTGAGCACCAATTACTTACCAGCATAACAGGTGTTCATTCTGTCCTGCAGTACTGTTTTTAAAACATGGCCCCCAAATTGTTCTGACATGCCTCCTGACGCGAGGTGTGTCCATGTCCACTGCCCTAGATTCTGGGCTCTATATCTGCCTGCCCAGCAGGACACAGCAAAAGTGACACTGTGCCAAGTTCCGGGCCCAGGACTTGGAAACTGGCAGTTTCCACTTCCTGTGTCTCGGAACACTCACTCTTAGAGAAAACAACCGAGAGAAACCAAAGTCAGCACAATCTGCCAGGCACACGTGAGCCATCTTAAAAGTCCCCAGTCCCTGGTAAGTCACATCAGCCAACGCTCAGTGGTGCAGACATAAACTGCCCCACCAGGCCCTGCCCAAATTGCAGATTTGTGGGCAAAATAAAACCGAGTTGTTGCTTCACACCACTACATTTTGGCGTGATTTGTTACATAGCAATAATAAATAAAATACTAGTATTTCCAAATGTATCTGAAGCCACATTAAGGAAATGACTGATCAGATTTTAGAAAATTATAGAAATTGAATGTAGTTATGTGCTTTAGTAAAGGGAGGAGTATATGAAAATGTGCAACTAGAAACAAGAAACCAATCCTTAACAGCTGTGTTGTTCTGATTTAAAATAATGATAACCTCTCTGTGCCTCAGTTTTGCCATCTATAAAATAGAGGTTATGACCATATCTACCCTTAGAGTTATGAGAAATAAATAAGTTAATATTCAGCAAGTGTCTAAAACAGGTCCTACACCACATAGTAAGGGGGGATGGGGGTGGGGGTGTGTGTGTGTGTGTGTGTGTGTGTGTGTGTCTGTGTCTGAAAAACTCTTTTTGATGACCATGCACATAACATTATAGAGTGTCTTGTTAATACAAAGTCCAAACCAGTATGGCCAGTTGTCACTTTTTGTATCCCTTACTCTAAGCACAATGCCTGGTAATTGCTTAATAAATTATCTGGTAAGTTCAGTTTTATCCAATTTACAGATCTTAAGGGCCTTTTCAGTTTACTTGGAAACGGCATATCTGCCTTTAAGTATAATTTTTATTGAAAATCAGATTGTATAAGAAACAAAAGGAAGAAGTAATCTGTTTATGTTTTTTCTTACCAGATCTGGACTACCATATGCTCTTTGAATATTCCCTTTGCATATGCCCAATAAAATAGATTTCCAAATTACTAATAAATATAAAAACATTTTTACATAGTAAATAAGCTTTTCTACCAAATGATAGTACTTGCCTCAAGAAATTTAACAGGAATAACTCCAAAATGCTGTGTTTCATTTCACAATGAAAACAAAGACAATGTCACCATCAGAGACAATACTTAAGTGACTGTAATTAATAGCTGGAATATCTCATGAGATAATGTTTAAAGATACCTGTAAATGTCTGACCAGTCTTTAAGGAAAAGAAAAAAAGAAAAAAAAACCCATACTCCTAAGATTCTAGATCTCTATTATGATTCTGGAATTTCTTGGGAACATAATGAAACATGTATTATCTTCATCTACATTATTTGAAAGCCCTGCCTTTCTAAAATACACTGGCCCAATGTTTAATATTCCTTCTCTTCATTTACACTAAAAAATGAAAGAGCTTCAATTGTTGGTCAAGCTTACAACAATTCTCTTGTAAATTCTGGTAAAATTTCATTGTGGTAGATGACTATTAGGAAAACAAAAAATACTGCAAATCCAAAATATGCCAAATTCTAAAACATGACTTGATGATATACTGCATAAAATACAAGCTTTTAAAGAATGCTGACACATTAGGGTGTAGGGGACTCCTGAACTCCACTCAGAGAGGTGTATTCTTTTAAAAATGGTACATTAAGATGCCACCTGCTAAGAGGGGAAAGGGGGCCCGGGAATTGGAAGAAAGGAAAAAGTCAATTTGGCAATTTTATCAGCTTACTTAATAACCTACATAACCACATTAAACCTTTCACAAGTCCCAATTCACACCAGAGAAAACACGGGACCAGGGGCTGAGAAGCTGCCCACGATGCAGCTGATACGTGGCAGAGCTGGGCACGAGCAGGGCCTTCGCACTAAGGAGTCAAAACCCGCGAGGGCTCCGTGCTACACTGCACACTCCTCGAGTAACGCAGTTAGGGAGGAGCCCCTTCGCAGCATTTCCCCCACTGTCAGAAGGGGTAAAAAAGACAGCAAGTTTCAGGCCAGACGTGAAGGCACTGTCCAGTAACATGGCTCAGCAGCTCCCAGCCCACTGGGGCACCTCCAAGTCTTATTTTCAATTCCTCGCGCCTCTCTCTGTTGAACTGGGCTTCAATGAACACTTTCTGCTGTACGATTCAGAAGATGTCGACACTGGGGCTTATGTGCCAGCCCTCTCTGATCGAAAACATATCTGTGTCACTGCTAGTGTGATCTCACCCCTGTAAGCTGAATTACTTACGCATTAGGCTGTAAATGTGCTTTTCTGCAACATGTTCCGTAAACAGCTTTATAAGGTCATCTTTTAAGTCTCTGTTAAGCTTGGTTTCGATGTAAAACTTATTCTGGAAAAGAAAATAAATTATTTTCCAGTGCACTGATTAGGGGAAATGATTAATAAACTGGAACACTAAAAAAATAATTATTTTAGAAAACAACTCATAAAGGCATCACCTAAAACTAAAAACCCATCACACAACAAAAAAAGCTATATCCTATTTATGTGTTTTTCTGGCGTGGGATTAAAAGCACATAAAGATAAAATGCTCTGAACCATACACCTCCAAAACAACATGGGAAGATACCAGACAGGGTATCTTAATGTCCTAGACAGGGATTACAGACACATGGAACCACACTGTGTGACAGGCACTTCCTATGCTCTTTAAAAATACTTTATTATCTAAAAGCAACACTGGGAATCACTCATGGAAGGTCCCCCATTTATCAATGATCTAGGATGACGCAGAGAGCAAACAGGAAGTTGGGAGCTGGCGGACTCCCAACACACATCCCACTGCAATGCCTGGCCTGTCACTCAGCCTCCAGCATTCCTTAGAGACGGTCTCCGTTCAAAGGGGGACACTGACCACGGTAGCCCAGTGAGACGGAGGGTAACCTAGGCTTGAGTGCGAAGTGTCCTGCAGCCATCTTACCACCACGAGCAGAACAAGACGAAACAGGAGTTGTATACAGCCAAGAGAAAAAAGAACCCTAGTCCTCGGTGACACTGTTAACCACAGATCCAGCCAACCCTGCAGACTGCCTTGTATCTGGGTTTTATTACAAGAGCGAAATCTTTCCCTTATTCACCTAAATCACTTGGAAGCAGCTTTTCTGTTTCTGGTAGCCAGAAGCATCCTGGTTAGAATAGATGGCAAGTCAAAAAAGATAGAATCTGTTCATGTCTAAATATTACCTCAATGTATAGGAACGGAAAACACAAAGAGGAATGTTAACAAGTTGTTGATTCTCTCTTATTAACACAAGATTTTTTTCTTCTTTAAGAAATTATAAATCTAACATGCACATGGTTAAGAATTAAAACCATGCAGAAGGGTATACAATAAAAAGAAATGTCCCACATCAGACCCTCTGTCCCATTCCCAAATGTCCCATGCCACACCAGGAAAACTTCTGTATATTCTTTCTAAAATGTAGCTTGTATATATAAGAAAACACTTGCTAATGGAGAAATATTTCACATTGCTTTGTATATTGCTTTTTCACGTAATGTCTCTTAGGGAAAACTTTTCTCTAAAATAACATAGACATGCCATTATTTTTAACTGCATCCTTTTCAACTGTATCTTCCACAAATTACTTAAATAATAGTCCCCTGTTGATCACAGAAGTTTCTCCCAGAGTTGTTTTTTTTTCAGTAAAGTATGTATGAAGAATAAACAAATCATTCTGAAGATCAGTATAAAACATACAGCAATCTCTATGCTATAGAATACAGAATCAGCCTAAACATCGCATTCACTAATCTAATAAACAAAGAGGAATTGGGGTAATGATTTCATTCCACTGCGATAACAAGCCCCTCCTAACAGGAACACTAACACTGGGATTCTACAACTTTATTTATTTAAAGGGGAGAGGGACTAATGAACAAAGTCAACAGAATACAAATTATACTCAAGGCATAATTTTCCAAATGAAAGCTATCATAAGAATGGGAAGCAAATTTTATTCTACTTTTTTATGAAATGACTTCCTTGGCATTTATCATACTTCATGTTTTTAGATACACGCCTTAATTCTTTTTTCTGAGGACAAAAAAATCTTCCTTATATACCATGTGGCAGAAATAAAATAAATGTTAATTGTCTAATTGCTGGTATTAATGCCTAATCGTCTATACAGCAATGTTATGTAATTTTAAAACAAAAAAAGGGTAAATATGTCAACACTATCAAACGTTCCTAAAATAGGTTAATTTCCATTTCTACCATAACATATAGTATTACAAGACAAATAAAACATACTCTCTGTGCTTAGAGCAATGAACCAAGCTCTAACTTACCATATATATGAAAAGAGGCACAATGCTCTGCAATGCTCCCATATATTGTCCAAGAGCTATATTAAATCTTTCAATATAGAGATCTGGAGGGCTGGCCTGTGAGCAAGAGAACATACATGTGATCATGCTGGGAAACCAGGTTTAAAGACCTTTCATCACAATCTAAAATGCAAATGGCTCCACTTACAATCTTAGTGTACGTACAGTGAACACCCCTTACTTCTAATTCAGCTTCCATTATTGAATACTTACAGGTTTGGTGCACACCAGGTGCCTGCAAATTGAATGTTATTTCTCTTTACATATGAAACAACTGGGGCTTCAAAATATTTAGTCACCTGACTAGGGATCTACAGCTGATAAATCTGTCCATCTGAATCCTTCCATCTACTCACATTCCTTTTTTAGCACCCTAAAACCTTTAGAGAAAGTTCAGATTTCCAATGCAGGGCACACTGTCTACCTCTCTGCATTCCTACCCCGCGCTTTCTCACATGCAGTCTGGCCCAGCCAACACGGGGAGCTGCTGGCAGCTCCCAAACGGCGTCGGTGTGCTGTCTCCGGCTTCCCTGACCGCTTCCTCTGCCTGAATGTCTTCACCACCCTCACCCTGATGCACCTGGCTACCTTCTGTTATCCTTCAAGATCTGTCATTTCCTCTGAAATATCTGGGACACATGTCCCTTCACCAGCACACTTATCAGCCACCATCACACTTACTTCTCCCACTGGTGGTCTCTGTCCCTGAACTTCAAGTCCCTGGACGGCAAGATCGAAGTCATTTCATAAATGACTTTCCATCCCCTGTGCTGACCCCAGAGCTTGGAACACAGCAGCTATAACAGGAAGGCATGTCTTGCAAGGACCAAGTCTTACTTAAATCTAAACTTGATGAAATGTAAATCTAACCTAGGCTTGTTTAAATCTAAATTATTTTACTATTTAACAAGGCTGTATGACATTATGCAATTCATTTAGTCTTCTGAATTTCAATTTCCATACATATAAAACAGGAAAAATACTAATTGTGCTATTTCTAAGATATGCTTAGATTCAGAGAAAAGGGTGTCTAAGTGCTTTGAAGAATGTCAAATATTATACATGCATAGGCAACTAGTAAGTAAACTTTCTGAATTAACTACCCATTTGTCTACTACTTCATAAAAATCCATTAACATTATTAAAAGTGTTCCTTATCAACTAAAGAAATTGGGGGAAATGGTTCCACATTATGAACAAACTTTTAACCACAACTCATAAACAGAAACACATGTAATATCTTTCTTTAAAGAGCTTCAAAGGACTCTAGAAATGTTTCAGTATTCAAAGAAATAAATTTTAGAAGTATTATATGAAAAAATCTGAAGAGGTTTTACGTTAAAATAATCTTCCCTTTCCATAAAAGGACACTGTCTATCTCAAAGTTAAAAGTATGAACACCGATTAAAAGGCATACTTAGTAGCATACAGAATAAGTGAAATTGGATTCCTAGTTATTCTTTCCAAGAATTCACAAAACCTCAAAGGTTATAGGTAATAAAAAGTACTTTTTCTACTGAATCAAATGTCAGAACATTTACTTAGCTTTTTATTTCTACATTTCAAATAGCACTTATTCCAAATCTTTTAAATGACAGGATTATAAATTATAACAATCTTCTAAAATAAATCCAATCTCTTTACTGGGAACATAGAAAAAACTATTGTAAAAAATTAATCAAACTGTTCATCCTTACAACTTAAATTCAGTATACTTTGGGCCCCACTGGAGAAATTGCTACCTATTTGATTTACATTACTTCAACATGAATATATTTGATTTGGACATTAAGTGAAATTTTTTACCCTTAAAACAAGCAAGCTTCTTTTCTTCTCAAACAAGAAAAAGCTGCCAGAAAAATAACTGTTACTCCAAACTTACCCCAACTTTTCATAACAGACCTAGGTTCCCTGAAATTTATAATATGGCTAGTAGGAGGAATGTTTTAATTTCCTTTTTAAAAATGACTAATGTATTCATCTGGTTTAAAATTCAAATTAGTTCAAACTGGTTTAGAGTTTACCTATCATTCCTTCCTCACTGAACCAACACTTAATTCATTTTTAACCTTCCAAAAAAATTTTACATATATACAAAAAAGTAAACATCCCATTTATACCCTTCTTTACATAAACACTAACATACAATCACGTTGATCTGCAATTATTCCAGAAATGTACCTTGGAAACTGTTTTATTCTGGTGGTTCTCATATATTTTGATGTCAAGAATCCTTTACACTCTTAAAAGTAATCAAAGATTCCAAACAGCTTTTGTTTACAATGTGTTATAATATTTACCATACTAAAAATTAAAACTGGGTTTTAAAAATATAAATTCATTCTAAAATAGTAATAAACTCATTATTTTAACATACTTTTATGTTCAAATACAGTTATATATTTTAAATATAAATATTTTCCAAAAAATTAGTAAGAAGACTGGTATTGTTTTCAGATTTTTCCAAGTCTCTTTACAGTCTGGCTTAATACAAGACAGCTGGATCTTCAGATCAGGTTCCGTATTGAATCAGTTGTGATGTGTTGTTTTGGTTGAAGGAAATACAAATCTACCCTCACAAAAATATGTGGACAGAATAAGAAGGTATATTTTAATAGCCTTTTCAGATCATTGTAAACATTCTTTAAAACTTGACAAGAGGTAGTTTCTTAAAGATCAGCTGCAATATAAAATCAGAAACTATCAATGAATTCTTTGTTCTCTAGCAACTAAAACCTGCTGGTCTATCTTCTACTTTGAATTGATCTTTTACAAATACTTTTTAAAACATTACGACGTTTGGAAGTACTAACGCACTGAATTATGCAGATCTTCCAAATGTTGATACGTTTTACTATACAACATTAAAAAAAATTGTATTTGTTAATATTATCACCTATCTAATCAGAAGAGTCTTTTTACTTAGGTATTGAGAATCGATAAAGATCATGGTGGTAAATTCAAGTTTTCCATAATTCTAATTTTCACTAAACTCAAATGTTATCTTGGCAACAAATACCATCAGTTGTTTCCCTTGAAGTAACAGACTTAATTCATTTTTGAGAAAATGTCTGTCAAATACCAAAGTCTAAATAACCATAGCTTGTCAGTTAGTCTTTCTTTCAAATAAAAATAGTGTTGTATAGGGGAAAAAAAAACCCCAGCTAGTTTAGCTCAAAACTTATATAACAACACAAGGGCTTTTTCTCAAGAATGATCGTTGTACTTTGGTATGCAGCTTCCCATTTGATCACGCAGGGTCTTTTTTAAAGAATACTCAAAGTCACCATTTAACAAAATTAGTATTTTTAGAACACTCCAGTGAAACGGGCTTGTTTCTGCTTTTGTTTTCTACTGTGAGTGTGTGGAAGTAAAGATCCCAGCAGTTTTGCTTATTGTTGCTTTTGTACCATCAGAGCAAATATCAACAGAGTAAAAAGACAAATTAAATCCTAGTAGTATCACAAAAACAGCTCTGATTTTGAGAACCCCCCAAAGGAATTTCAGGGACCCTCAGAGGTCCTTGAACCGTAAGTGAAGAATTCTACCCTTGCCATGACTGGTTGGGTGTCGACTCGCAAAGCAAAACATCGCTGGTTTGATTCCACTCAGGGCACACAGCACTGTTGCGCATTCAGTAAGGGCATGTACCAGAGGCAACTAACTGATGGCTATTTCTCTAGCCCTTCAATGTTTCTCTCCCTCTCTTTCTCCCTCTCTTTCTCCTTCCCCTCTCCTTGTTCTAAAAATGTTTAAACAAAATAAAATAAAGTAGAAATATTGGGTTGGCCAAAAAGTCCGTTCAATTTTTCCCATAAAAGACAAGACACATTTTTCATTTTCACCGATAACTTTATTGATTTGGATATATTGAGTATGCTGGCTATCTCCCACTATTGGCATCTAGTGGGTAGAGGCCAGGGGTGCTGCTAAACATCTCCCAATGCATAAAACAGCCCCACAGCAAAGAATTATTTGGCCAAAATGTCAACAGTATCAAGAAACTCTGCAAACTACTTTTGACACGTTCAATCAGTCATAGCACCTTCTCTGTACACTGTAGAAATCTTTTTTTGCATTTCAGTTGCATTTTACCTTTCTTGAAATAATAAAGCATAATATGCTGAAAATGTTGCATATCTTCCTCCATCTTCAATATTAAAATGGCTGCACAAAAATTCACCAATTTTGGTAAGTTTTTAAAAAAATATGCACTGATATGAAAGCTGTCACAATAAAATCTAACAAAATTGTTCTGAATGAATTAAAGACAACTAAGCACTATAAGAATCATTGTGCAGGAAAAATTAAACTTTTTGGCCAACCCAATATATTCTTATAGATACTATACAATGTTTGAATGTATTATTCAATCAGCATGCATTCTGATTACTTGTTGTTACTCTTTGTAGCTACAAACAATGTTGCAATCAATAACTTCCTACAGATGTCATTCTGTAGACTGTTTTAAAGAAAAATTTTAAAGCTAAAATGGTAGAACTAAATGGTAACCTTTTGTATCATTAGATAAAAACAAAATAATTTTGGCACTTAGTCTGGAAGGCTGGATCTGCTAAACACCACTTTAGTAATTTGTGAGAAATGCCTCAGAGCAAGAGAGGAAGGGTCAGATTCACCATATATATCAGGCCTTCACAGGATGGGAGGAGAACAGGGCTTGTTACCCTCAACTTTGAAAACTAGGTAAGTGTGGTCAATTACTCTAATTACATGTATATTAATTTTAGAACGGCATAATTTGTTTAAATAACTTTACTACTCATTAGACAAATGTACTATAAGCTAGGCCAGTTCTGACCAACAGAATTTTCTGTGATGATGGAAATGTCCAATATGGTAGCCACGAGCCACGTTTGCTACTGAACACTTGAAATGTATTTAATAAAACTAGGACCTGAATTTTTATTTCATTTTAGTTTTAATAATTACATATGGCTAGAGGCTATCAAACTAGACTCTGCAGATGTAAAACACAAACAAGTTCCACAATTTCATATTTATATCCCTCCTCCTCTACCTATGCACCATCCCCATCT